TCTGGTTTTCGTGTAGATAATTAGCGCCAGCAGTTGTACCAAAGAATAATTTTCTATGCTACACGACCCTCTTATCCAAGAAATCACTACATCAATTCTTTTATATACGCTGATTTATGAAACATCTTGATTTTTTCCAAATCTCAAATAAACTTCCTTCGTCTTTTGTTCATAAACATTATATCAGTGCAGGTGGAATCATCGAAGCACTTTGTGACGAAATTTGATTGCCTAGGTGTAATGCAAATTTCTAAGGTCTGGCATTGATAACGAGTGTAGTGGCGTGATTGATAAGGTAAAGTCGATGATAGGATTGTGACTGAAAAACATGCGTTTCCTCATTTTTCCTAGATTCTTAAAAACCTTCCAGAATTTCTGTTGCAAAACAAAAGCAGCTTCAGAAAAGGGTGGTTACGAGAAGACTGCCAAAACTCTTGATATTCAAAGATGTGATATTGGTTTCGATCTATTTCAAATTTTTTTGAAAAAAGTAAAATGAGAGGCGAAAAAAAATGTAAGGCGAAAGCCTATGTGCTGAAACTTGCAATTATTCAAACTCCCTACATAAAGACACCTGGAATCCTTTTATATGAAGCTTTGCTTAAAGGGATAACGGGGCATTCCGACATTCTCAATAACGAATAGTATGTAATTGTAGTTCAAGCTTTGAATTTTGGTGCCTCCATGAAATGTTGCTGCTTTTGAGAATCCTATCAAGCTTTCCTTCAATATTTTCCTTGAGAAACCCGATTACGCTCAAGCATCCATTGTGAACCAGAAGAAAGGACGATAGCAGCAAACAGTTTAATGTGGGTGTATCTCTTAAGCAGCACGACAGTCGTCTCCTCTCTATGCTTCTGCAAATAAATAAAATTCTAAGCAAACACACAATATTTCATAGATTCAGTGTACAAATCATAAAGTGAAGGGTGTTGAAGGAAATGTTGTGGAATTTCTTCGTTGGAGGAAACTTCTTTATAAAACCAGTTACTGATTGGGCAGGGGGAAATTGCGCAGAATTAAGTAATGGAAGAATTTGAGTGCATCAT